TATTAGATCACAAGGACGTTATCGACACAATATACTTGTTACTAGCATAAGAACTGAAGATTATCAATTGAGAATAATGTTTTTCGGTCTAAACCAAACTGCATAAAATCTATGTAATTTTAATTATGAAAATATTAAAACATCTTTTATGAATAAAGAATGAAGGGGAACTGCATTTCACGTTTTTTATTGAATAGGAAGATGATAATTAAACCAAAAAGGATGGACTGAAGAGAAATGTCACGTTAAATCATTTTATTTTGTTGCATCTAGCATCTAATTGTTATTAATTATACGAATTCGTTTGCCCTTTGTTATTCTAGACCTGTCTACCCAAGTAATGTCATTGTAGGCATTGAATTGCATTGTTGATTTTCCGCTTCTCACAAGTCAAGAATTTCACCTGTTTATGTTCCAATGATCCAGTTTTTACCAAGAATAATCATAGCAGATTTGATAAAATAGTGTGTGCGTTTCTCATATTTTAGGCGAATTAAATTTGAATCCTCACTCATCTTCTTATGATCTAAGGGATCAGATTTTCTGATTAAATTTTTTCTTTAAAAAATTAAGTTTAGTTATGACAAAGGTATTATAATTGATAAAAGTACAAAAAAAAAAGTAAAATACCCATGAGCAGGTAGATGAGTTGATAGGGATTCTTTTAACTTAACAAAAAGTATTGATTTCAAGTTTTAGGAATGCAATTCTGTTAAAACACGTAAGAGAAAGTTTTGTTGTACTTTGTATCCTGTCCAGTTCAAACCCGAATTAGTCAGTAACCCAATAAACTTCTAGATGCTGGGTGGTCTAAATAAAAAAAAAATAAAAGTAAAATACAGTTTATCTTACAATTTATTTAACATCAATAAAAGAAACAAATTTTTAATATAACGAATTGCACCATAATATTCTCTTATAAAAGTTGGTAGAGTATATGAAAAATGAAAAAAATAATAGGTTGAATAAAACAAGATAACAAAATAAGAAACGACCCCATCGTCTATGTACAAGTAATGCATGAGATTGGTGGAAGATTATGAATAAGATATGCAGCAAAACGACATGAAAATTTTTCAGAAAGCAAACGGAAAGCTCGCAAATCGTGAGTGGAAATATCATGGGCAACTTCTTAAGGGCCCAAAAGTAAGCAATCTGGAGGTAGTTTTGACAATTCTTGAATAGCAGAAAAAGGTAGAAATAAGAAATCCTCAAAGGAAATCATAGGCATGGACCTAATCAGGAAATTTTCTGCAGATCAACCGATGATCGAGCAAATTTGGGAGTAGTTTCTTACCGTCGATTTTTAGACTTGGCAAAAATCCATTCGACCCATCAACTCGATTTTAACCCAACCCGTAAAAATGAGTTAGGATTTACATATCTTAACCTGCAGCCCGTAAATAACTCATATTATCAATCCGAACGGGTCATAAGTCGAGTTAAAGTCATAGGCATGGACCTAATCAGGAAATTTTCTGCAGATCAACCGATGATCGAGCAAATTTGGGAGTAGTTTCTTACCGTCGATTTTTAGACTTGG